ATATATATATATATATATATATATATATATATATATATATATATATATATATATATATATATGTCTGTTAATAACATAATTAACATAAGAGACTACTTTAATTCAGTTCTTCAGAATGTTGTGCTTTACGTTAACAGTTGCGAATAATGGAGAGATGGCGGTGCAACATCACAACAAAATTGATGCCGTCCCTCATCGGAATGCATCGAACACGGATCACGAGTTCGCGAGGAAATCCTTGCATCGGTCTTCGAAGGAAAATCACAACGCAAAGAATATGTTTAATAAACCGATGGTCTCCGATATAGAAAAACAGGTTCAAAATATATTAGACGATATGCAAAATAGAGTGCCTGTGGACGTACCAAGTCCTCTGAGAGACTGCCCACCGCCTGATTGGAGCGATAGTAGTTTGTCTAGCGTTGACACGGCTACCGACGTAGACATTGTGCCTTCGAACGACATTTAAATCGCACGTGTATTTCAAGTTAGCGACACTCAACAATCGCCGATTCGTCGTGTACAGATTTGTAATTGCCGAAGAGAGCTGTGATAAGCTGTCGCGTGAAATGAACATTCCACTCGGCGATGATGTTCACGAAGTGCTATTTATCAATGAACAGAATTCTATTCGTTAATGTTGACTCACATTTTGTGAGAACTCGTCGACACGCTATTTTGTAAATAAAGATTTACTGCACGTTGAATCGCGAAAGTTTTCTCACCGGCAGATGTCTACGTTAGCGCAGATACTTCTCGCGCACGAATTCCTACCAAAGTGACGAGACAACAATATCGTAATCCGCTTGTCTCTTTTTGCACAAACCGAAAGAGTTCTTTTTTCACGTTCATTTTTATTATTTAGAACTAAGCATGTAAATCTCTTTGTATTTTTTTTTAACGAAACTGTAAGAAAATCGCAAAAATAGGTCAAAAATATATTTTTGTCTGTAAATATATAAAATTTTTATTTATAAATTCGATTTGTGATCCTTACGATATCGATTTCCGTCATATGTTGCTTGACAAATACTGCGATATTATTATGAATTAACTAGACGTATAGTACGTATAGTACGTATCAACATACAGTTACCTTCGCGGAGAACCAGGTGTTACGAATATAAATTTTACATACAAGAACAAGATGTATATATAGATATATATATATTTTTTTTTATCACATATGTATATATACAAGTAAAGTATAATACTTATAATATTTTGTAAGTCTTAATAGGATTAAAAGGGAACATTTTAATACACGTAAAACATTCATCAGCTTTGCATGAAGACTTCTCGAGAAATACATATTCGTGTTTATTTTTTTTTTCCAGTAAGCGCGTGTACATGGTATGTACCTTTTTCTCCTGTGAACGGTCGATCTCTCCTTCTTTTTTCTTCTTTTTTCCTTCTTTTTTTCTTTTGGTTCGGACTTCTAATGATCGAGAAACGTTTATCTGCTAACGGCTAATAACATTACGAACACAGTCCCAACGATTCGATGCGCGTGAAATGAGTTAACGACTGAACCTCGAAACGAAAAAGACTGTCTTCGTGTTTTATTTTATTTTTTTTTTTTTTCTTATGATCATTTGGATGAAAATGCGAGAAAACGGACGATAATGTTTAAAAATCTCTTTATTTATACTCGTGCATGTCTCACAAGGGAATTTTCCTCGATTCGTTTTTTCTTTCTCTTTTTTTTTATTTTTTTTCTTCCTCCTCCTTCATCTCCTCTTTACATTTAATCGTAGTATACCTAAGGACGTACCGCGTATCGGTCTTCTAAAGTAGTAAATCACAAGTTTCGCCAGTCGTTTAATTTTGATTATTAATTTCAGGCTCGATTTAACACGATTTACCCGCGCTTTCCTCTCACCTCCCCCTCCCCTCCCTTCTGCACTGCTCCCTTCATTCTCGCACACTCATAGATATTCGATCACCACTCGTTTCCACCGTTCCACCCGGAAAGCAATGTCCAATTGTAGCGCGACACGACGTTCCGCTTCGCGTTCGAAGAAAATTCCGTCGCGATTTGGCGAATTGAAGATATATTAAAGTTCCCTTCTCGGATACGTATACTTTCACGTACATGTGAGTACGGCTTTTCTTCTTCTTTCACCACTTCTCTTTTTTTTTTTCGTTTTTTTCTTACATTTTTTGTTCTTACGATGTATTAGAGGCGTTTTAAAAAACGTGAATTTCTTATTTGATTCGTTCGTGTACGCCGGTAGTCTCCGTTGCTACGCTTAAGTCGTCTCTCCTTAACTTACAATATCAAATCTCACGTATACAGGCTGCGTCGAAGGTCGCGCGCTTTTTCGAAAAGGGCCGCGCGTCCGAGACAATTCCGTCGTAATCCTCGCGACTGTCTCGAAATCTCGACATTTACTTGAAAATCGACCGCACGATGAGATTTCGCTGTTTATCCCGTGTCTGGAGAACGACCATGCCCCTCAATTCGTAACTCGCTGAATAAATTCGTAGAAGGAGAACCGCTGTTTCTCTTTCTCTCGCGGAAAAAGCTTCTCGATTAATTTGCCGGGGAATACGCGCACAGTTGCGAAAGATCGCGGGACTTTCGAGCGCGGCCTCTATGTAACAATCGTGTAAATTAAATTCGACAATATTTAAAGACTATAATAAACCGCTGCGCGGTATACGGTACTTTGTCGAGATGAGAAACTACCTCGATGAGACACTGTAAGTCGATCGACCAGGTGATAACGCGGCGGTGACGTCGCTGATGGAAGGACGTGTTGTATACGTAAATGTTTGCCATGTAACGTCTTGATATCGGCTAACTTTATCCCTCGCTGGGACATTTTTATCGGCGAGCCTCGCGTAAAGAATTAAACGGTACCGACGATAATACCCGACGGTAATTTCGTGACGCTCGCGCGGCGCTCGACGCTGACGGAATTCCGCGAGGATCTAATTTAAAGAATGACCTTACGCGTGCAATAAAGTCGCGCGACTTCTCTCTCTCTCTCTCTCTCTCTCTCTCTCTCTCTCTCTCCTTCTCTTTGTTGTTCTCGACAGTGCTCGAAGTAGCTTTTCGTCCGCTATTTAATATAAAACTTTTACCCCTCATTGTCTCCTCTCGCGTGCCACAAACGTGAGACGTTCGCGGGCATTCGTTTCTTCTCCTGCTCCACCTTATTTATCGCTAAATTCGCATTTTCGGAGATGTGTCGGCAACGATTCGCGACGCCCTACCGAAATCTCGATCGCGCGATCGCCGTGTCGAACCGGGACGGCGCGAATCCTCCCCGCGGGATCGATTCCGCGATCGTGCGATCGATCATCGATGATCATCATCATCATTATCGTCATCATCATTATCATCATCATGATCTGTACACCTGGTGTCGTTACATCAAAGGCTGTCACGCGTGCGTCATTTTGCGGGAGAGTTCTCGTCGAGGTCACACGGTGCAATTTTTCGAGATCGGGCAATTTTCGCGCGTAAGCTTCGTCATTGTCAATTTTTTCGCGGATTGCAAATTCGCGGACCGAAGGATCACGTCGAGGGAGGGAAAAGGAATTCGACAGCACGTTCGGCACGGTGGAAACCTTTGCGTAAGGAGTGTATGTACGTGTGTCTGTCTGTATGCACGTATATATGTGTGTATATATGTGTGTGTATGTGTGTGCGTTTGCAATATATCTATCATATAATAAATACATATGTACACGCATGCCGGTGTCGTAGAGTCGAACGCATCGGCGCAAATTCTTCGCAAATTTTCTTTTTTTGTTTTTGGTACCGCTTGCTTCTCTGCCTTTTGATTTTCGAGCGCTTCGTGTTTTCGCAATTCCCGCGCTGGGACTAAACCGCTCGGGATTGAGACCGGCGTCAATGTACAATGAATCGCGGCGCTGCGACAACGGACGAATGGAGAACGCTAATTATTAACTTGGACAGGCCAGCTCGTGACAATTTCCGTAGAGAGAAACGCGTGTGTTCCGAGAGAAGAAATCAAACACCACCTCCTGCTGATCAACGGCCGTGGAGAAAACGTCGTCGCACGGTACAATATCACCTAACGTATGTACGTATTACGTAATAATAATGCTTGTATATTACAGTTAGACGATCATTCGTGTAGAAATCGTAAAATTGTGAGTCGATTAAAATGAATCTAGCCGACTTTAATATCCTAATTAATAGTTCTCTCAACTATAATTATACGCTCAAATATAGCTCAGATATCGGAAGTGATAGTGGGCTGTTGTAAAAATAAAAATTTAACATTTGTCATCTTGAGGTTGCATGTATGGAAGGACATGTTTTATTGTTTATTGTACGTTATATACTGCTTTGTTCGGTGTAAAAATATAAAGCATTTCGATTACAGACTTCATACGTACGGGCGTTGCCATTGTTACGGAGTAATCGGCGGCTATTACGACACAACTTGTCTCACTTTCTTTCTTGCAACTTCTTCCTTCCTTGACGTAGGGTTGCGTGCGCCATTGGAAGAAGAAACGACGGAAGGAAAAAAAAACGAGAGGAATGATGCGCGATACGCGAGGTTGAAGTTATTAGAAAAACGCGATTGTCTTCCGATCGGTCCATCACGAGAATTATCCTCAGACAGTCGAGGCGACAATAAGAAGAAGAAAAGAAAACAACAGCAAAAGGAAGATATCGCGCCAAAACAATAACGATTGTTGAAGTGATCGGGAAATTTCGCGTTCGTGGTTTTCTTCAATTCTTGGACCCTTCACAATCGTCCCTCACAAACGGCAGTTTGTGGGACGATTACAGACAATTAGGACGAAGTGTGAGTGCGAAGAATCGTCAAGCTACGGAATAACTGTTACACCTTCCATAGAAGCGCAATTACGTAGACACACCGGGGGAGGGAGATCCCCCGGATTGCAATCCTACCTCAAGAAACAGTCCCGAGTTCTCGTTCGTCTAACAATGGCCCAGACTATGGAGTTAATAATTGCTTTCATGTGGCAATGGTAACAATCTGCGTGTATAACAAATATACTTAGAACGGTTTCACTTGTGGTATTACGGCTCTCTGCAATAAATCATATTCATCTGTTCAACTGCTGCTGAATAACAAGGTATGTGGAGTATATCTGGATACAACGCGACCTACTTTTGCATCGCTTTTCTGCCAAACAAAAGACAATTACTCATATAATTATCGAGGAGCGAGGACGGGGCCTCGGACCTCTTCGGATCTCTCTCTCTCTCTCTCTCTCTCTCTCTCTCTCTCTCTCTCTCTCTCTCTC